TTCATTAGGGCTTTCATCTCTTCATTCATAGCTTCTTTCCACCTTGGATCAGATGCTGCCTCTGAGTACCTAGAAGGAACACGTACAGAGGAAAGAGCAGACACAAAGGAGTGATAGGCAGAAGATAATGTGAGTAAGAAACAAAATCAGCTATGGGATGCCAGGTGGTACAAGAACGGACAAGCTTACGAAGAGCAATAGGAAGATCCAAATCCGAAATATGTGTCAGAATTACCTTGAATTGCAGAGACAGGTTGATCTGAGTCCAACTGGTTGCAGTCATGAGGCTGAGAGCTCTTTTTCCTTCTGTTGTATGTAAGTATCTCCTTCTGTTGCCTACTGGAATCTTCAGGAGCATCTGCTGCATCAGGAGGAGTAACTGGCACATTTGGAGCCTTACTAGGTTGACCCGGAATGTCACAGCTAGGAGTAGTAGGTGATGGAAGACCTAAGTCAGATAGAGGAATAAAAAAGGAGGGAGAATGAGAATCCTCTTCCAATCCACTAGTCTCCCCCTGAAGAGGATTCTGAGAAGATTGGAAATAGGGTTGAGACTCAAAAAAGACTACATCTCTAGTGACATACTTTTTCTTGGAGACAGGATCATAACACTTGTACCCCTTTTGTGTAGGAGAGTACCCAAAAAATATCCCCTTTGTAGCCTTGGGATCCAGCTTGGTTTTCTTTGGATCCTTCACATGTATGAAATATATACAGCCAAAAACCCATGGGGGAAGAGGAAATTCTGGAAGAGTGGGACACAAAACAGAGAAGGGGGTCTTCATACCCAATACCTTAGATGGCATCCGATTTATCAGGTATGATGCAGTGAGTACAGCTTGAGACCAGTATTGCTTGGGCACTTTGTGCTGAAATAGTAGGGCTCAAGCTGTCTCCAATAGATGTCTGTTCTTGCGCTCAGCCACTCCATGTCTCTCCTTGTCCCTGGCATTTTCCCAATCCAATATCAAGTGATGATCAAGCTCTTCCCAAAGGCCTTCTAGAGTTGCAAAGTATGTTGCAACCGTCATATCTCCTTGCCTTAGAGCTGCAATGTCTTGGTTCAATCTGTAGATTCTAGCATTGTTCTTCTTCTGGCCGTAAGTCTTAGATACCTTTTCCCAAATCTTAGTAGCTGTAGGGAAATAATGAACAGTTTTGGCAACCCGAGGTGTCATGGAGGCCAGCAACCAAGACATGACTGTGGCATTTTCCTTGCGCCACACGGCATGCTCAGGACTGCCGACTTCAGGTTCCTTCTTGTCCCCATCTAAATAACCTGTGAGATCACGGGAAGTAATGAAAAGCCTTGCTGAGACAGACCACTCTCTGAAGTTATACTCATCCAGCAACACACTTGTAATCTGCAAGCTGTGCAGATTAGGGTTTTCCAGGTTTGAGGACCTTGCAGCAGGTCTGTTATCTCTAGAGGAAACTTCACCGGATAGTGAGGACATCCTGACTTCAGTCCTAGAGTTGTTCACAGTGCTGTAGGTGGTTCTGTTTAGGGC